AGATACTGTCTCACGTCGTTGCTGTTGCCTTTCTTGCGCTGAGCCCAGAAGAAATCCCAGAACAGACTGAACCAATCCAAGAGGAAAGAGGATTGTTGACTTTCGCTCGCGAGATTAGGTCGAGGAAGGTCATCAGGAATCTTAATCTTGTCACCGTCCTTGCTATCGGTCATCATCGCATCGCCTTCGACGCCATTCATGTCTTCACGACGGTGACCCGGACTTGTTTTTGTAGGGGGTTCAGTGTTCAATTTGATCGACTCGTCTTTCACGAGAGCCCTTGCACATTCATGATAGCCACGTTTCAGAAAATAGTCGTAGATGTAGGTGTTGAGGTTGTTGATCATCGTCTCAGGTATGTTGTTCACATTTCCATCGTTACGAGGAGCCGTGGAACCGTTATTCATCATAGGAACACCACCAACCGGGCCCCCAACCCCAGGGTTCATCCCCGTCACATTCATCTGATTCATGGTGGCACTGCGAGGAGTTTGGCCACCCTGGCTTGCTGTTGGTCCCTTATGAAAGCCGTCGGTGAGATTCTGTTTCAGTGCGCATCCACAGTCTCGAGGCGAGATATCTCACCACAGATCGAAGACAAGGCGCGCGTGCGGACTGGTGGTATAGGGTACTTAAGACAGGTGGAGAAGGCGAAGTGACCGGCGCTTCGAACTCAGCAAACAAAGGCTCTGGTGATTCCCTTTCTCCAAATCAAGCACGAATACAAGATCGAGAACCAAAGTCGATATGCCCGAACCAACTCCAGATAACGTCCACAAATCTACCGATGCAAATCAGACACGGCGCTCATGCGAGTGCAAATTGAGAACCACAATGACTACCCACTGGGACAAGGAAAGCAAGCGTGATTGTCTCAGGAGCAGACGCGAATGGGGGACAATATTGTAAGGACCGATGCTTTTCAAGCGCAATCGGGGAAAAAGACCAGTATGGCACAGTACGTAGGATTTCTTAAGGGATTTATTGACCTTGGGTAAGGTTGGGACAGAAGCGAGGAGAGTGTAATAGAACAGCCAGAGGGTAAAGTGCGCGATAAGATTAAACGGGGTTTCGATGAGCGACACGAAGGGGCGAGAGGCGCAAGAAGATGGAGGAGAGGACGGGTGCGGCGCTTTAGGGGAGGCAGGTCAAATCATGCCCCGACGGGCACCACTTGGGGAGAAAAAGAGAACGGAAGGAAAGAATTCAAGACGGAAATACCTCGACGAGCTCTGGAAGAGAGAGATGATGGTGGATTCGGCAAATCCGGCCGATCTTACGAGGAAACGGTTTGAGAGAGAGGAGGAGGAGGGGGGAAAAGAGGCGAAGGTTAGGACAAGGTGTGAAGCGGTGGATCTGAGGTGATCTGGTGGGTGGGAGGACGTGGATATCCAGCGCGGTTCCTGGAGGTGGTGCTGGGCTTTCCCTTACCCTTCAGTGGCACGTCGGCTGGGCGTAAATCGCTTGTTCGGCGCGGATTAACTTGGGCGGAACTCGGCGGGAGGGCTGGGAGATGCTGCCTTCTCGCGTATTTCTGAGCATGCAACCCAGAGAGGCGAAGAAACGGGACTCCGTTGATACTTTACAAAGCGAGAATGGTAAGAAAAAAATTAAGGCGATAAGCACTTGATGGATGACAACAAGAAATAACAGAGGGTCTAAGTTTTTGAGATCATTGAGATCGAGTCTCAAATGAGACTCATCAATAAATTTGATGAGGGAAGAACCAAGTAAAGAAAAGAGAGGAAAGTGGCAGGTTGGAACATCTGGATGTATCGACGCGGATGATTCTCGCAAAATCATTGTTCCGAATATGCAACAGTTGTTATACATTGTAATGGAAGCATAACAGTGAGCGATTTCTCCATGATTTAGAAAATAAGCTGGTGGAAACAGTATGGAGCAATAGCAGGAGACAGATGAAATATTATTATCATTGCAGAGAAGTTATCATCTTGGCGTGCAACTACATATAACAGTCCGGAAGTCTGCTGAAGAAATAAAGATGTATTGAGAATACATTACCAGTGGCTAGGAACTGTCAGTAATGAACTGTCAGTAATACCCGCAGGCACATAGGGTACCACTAGGCAGAGGAGCTATTTAGCAGACTATGAGATGGATACTTTGTGGCTATCATATCGAATCAGACATGTACAGCTTTAAACTTATTTCGGACGTTGAGATGTCAAGTTTGTCTTGTGGCAATCCTCTGTTTCTTCGCGATGTCCTAGGAGGTATCTACATTGTAGATGTCATCAGATGACAGGTGCTTTTCCCCAGACACAATGATCATACCACAGGAAACCGCTCCTCATCATATCTTTGCCCAATCAGTTCATGTGGTAGTACAAGCATTGTCATGAATGTCCGCAGAGTGGTTTGCCAATTTCTAATTCATCATTTCGTTTTGAATCTCCACAGAATCTGCATCCGTGAATGGTTCCATATCCCGCCGTGTATTGACATTTCAGGCTTTCCAGCTAACTATTAAGGTTGACAATGGCGATCATCTAGAAAGAAGCCTAGCCCCAGTTAGGGGTTATCTTTCCTAGAAGGAAGCCAATATGATGTTATCAGCCAAAGTAAAAATTAGAAGAAAAAATAATAATAATAAAACAAAATTAAAAATAAAAAAGTAAGGATTATCAACTGTCTTATTTCAGGCACCTAAGGTTGTATCTGGGCCTACACCAGTGTTTCTGAAACTTTCCTGAATTCTTTGCATGATCGTACCTCTAACATATCATGATCTAACCAATGGTTTTGGTCAGTGGCTGTCAGGTCACTGATGCAGCCCCCTAGCAACGTCAATCCATATTGTATACATTGCCTTTGCAGTCCCTCGTCCGCCTTTTACATAATTGGAAACTTGCGCCTCCAAGAATCAAATCGAAGAAAAGGCACGCAGCTGTTGAAGCACAGACCAAAGCCGAAGAGGAGGCGATAACAAAGCTCCGAGAGGCACTGAGACTGGCATCCATACCCAATATTCGACCACTGTCTGTATACAAACCCATCGAATCGGGCGCAGCTTTCAGCAGCGAGACCTTCTATTGCTTGTTACGGGGAGACTAATTTGTGTCCAAACTGTGAAGATTGAGGAGAACGGAAACAACACAGAGAAGACCGGTGGTTAGACGAGAGCTGTCTGAGACAGCTGCCAGGAAGGCACTGGTCGTTCCAAATAAGGAAGTCATCCTAATGTCAGGCCAGGGTCGTAAGCGAAGCGCGGTCTCCCTAGACTAGTATATACGCATCTTCCGGGAAGGTGATTCTACATGGGGAATCATCAGTGTGACTTTTGCCAATGTAGCTAGTAGCTGCATGGGTCTACTTCGCTAGGAAGTCAGTCAGAGCGTCGGGTAGAATACTTCCAATGATCCCCAGCATACATCAATAGGTTGATGTGCTAGATGGCTGCATCTGTGCTCTCTCAAACCGCCACCTATTTATATGGTTAAGCATTGTCAAGTATGCCGGGACGGAAATGTTGTTTAGTTGAATTCAACTTTGAATCGCGATTTCCATAGCGTGAGGCATATCCCTCGTATTGGAAGCGCCGGCTGAGTTTCGGCCAGCCCCGAAGAACAAGTGGTTATTTTTCCATAGTCGTAATTGCATATGCATGAAATGATTCGAATTGCATAAATCCAGAACACCAGACGCCCTGATAGTCTAAAAGTGCCCCATTCCAATGCTCGACTTCAGATCATTCCTCATCAGGCGGCATCTCATCCTCGATGTATCGGACCAATGAAACTCGCATCTCCGTGGTGTCATCACCTCTTAAAACATCGCTGACAAAGTGGGCCTCGATCTGCATTTGAACCTAAGAGGGACGTCAGAAATCCAGCTGCTAGAAGAGCTAACATTCATGCATATGCCCGCCTCCTGGCTGCGTCTTACCATTTCCAGTGCGCCTCTTAAAACACCGCACAAAATATTGGAGAACCACAGTTCATCTTGTGCTCTTCCATCGTCCGGGAGCTCCACAAAGTCCGCAAGAGGATTTTCGTCGAAAACGAGAGAAAACTGATTGTTATCGCTCGTCCAGTTCGTGACTGTAGGCGTGATATTCAGGAAGATCTTGAACCCAACCTATTCCCGCGGAAATCGTCAGTAACCACGTCACTATTTATGTTCATGCAAACTTCATGCAGAGATGGCCATCTCATACCTTCGAGATCATATCTGCCGTCTCTCGGAAGTTGGCGCATCGGCCCATACCAGACTTCGCCAGGTAATCTTCAATCAGTCGCATACCGATATTATAGCCCATCTTGTCCAGCTGTTTGTTGACCTCTTGATAGTTGCTATCGTAGTCCTGACATAATTGCGCGACAATTGTTCCATACGTCAAGGTAACCAGCTCCGCATTAACCTTGTCAACTCTCGTCCTAATATTGGCAGCATCAGTTGATGCACTTCCCTCCAACAAATTTCTCAGGCTGCAAATAAGAGTTTCCAGGGTAGGCAGAGGCGCTCAGCTTACTGACTTCCAGAGCCTATGTTGGGTTGGTTAGCCAAGGTACTCAACATTCGGATGCGACAACACAAAACAATCAGACTCACTCTTCACCAATCCGGGACACCTTCGTGGAGGACGACATGTCTAGCTTTGCATCCAAATGTTTTCAGATCCGATAGAGTGATCTGTTCCTCGACCAGCCTGAAGGTTCTATGATTCAGTTTGAGACAGTTGTCGAATGTGGATAATCTACACTCCCGCTAGAGTCGGTGGATCAATAAAGCATGCAGGCGGAGTTATACTGTGTACTATGGGTCCGCGGGTTAGCGGCTAACGCGTCTAATATACCTTAGGGCGCCTGTGGGAACTCGCGCAAAAGACAAACTACTCAATGACGGTAGACTATTCTTGAATATATCCATTTCCAATTGCCGATCGAACTGTTGTTTTTTTCCTTGTTCCCATCTTGTTGTTTTCTGTATTAGCTTAGGTTTCTCACAATATCCAGTCAACACGTTCTGTCGCAGTGATGTCGGGAGAGAAAAGACCAGCACAGGCAGCCTTTGGCTCCTCAAATCAACTTGTCGTCAAACGAAAGAAGTCCGACGGGGATATCAATGCTGGGACGGCTGTTGTGAAATCCTCATCTCAGAATGGAACTCTTGTGCAAGCAGTATGTGGCCCCTGGACTGCTGCTCAGCAAGATTGAAGAGCTCTTTATTGATCACTATGGCAGATTCCTCGCACCAGCGGGCTTGACGCCCCCATTATGGAGCTGACAGGTGAGACAGAAGGCTAGAACGGCTTGGATTTTGCATTAATACCGCATTCGCAGGTCATTCTGGCGAGGTCTTCACCGTGCGATTTGACCCCACAGCACAGCACATTGCGTCTGGCTCGATGGATCGGTCTATATGTGAGTCGCAACTGAAGCTCAGCATTCTACTAAGCACGACTGACGCTTCTTCTACCAACGACAGTACTTTGGAACACATATGGGCAATGCGAGAATTATGGCGTTCTGACCGGCCATCGAGGGGCGATCCTGGATTTGCAATGGTCGAGAGATTCACGGGCGATTTTTTCCGCATCGGCGGATATGACACTAGCGAGCTGGGACTTGGAAACTGGGCAGAGAATACGACGCCACGTTGGGCACGAGGAGATCATAAATTGTCTTGACATCAGCAAACGAGGCCAGGAGCTCCTGGTTAGCGCGAGCGACGACGGTTGCATAGGGATTTGGGACCCACGACAAAAGCATGCTATTGAATACCTCGAAACAGAGCTTCCCATCACCGCAGTAGCTCTGTCGGAAGCAGGAAACGAAATCTACAGTGGAGGCATTGATAATACAATTCACGTCTGGGACTTGCGAAAGAAGTCTGTTGTGTACTCCATGGCTGGCCATACGGACACCGTCACGTCCCTGCAGATTTCGCCGGACTCGCAGACCCTGCTTTCCAACTCTCATGACTCAACGGTGCGCACTTGGGATATTCGGCCCTTCGCTCCCACAAATCGACACATCAGAACATACGATGGTGCCCCGATGGGGCTGGAGAAGAACCTGATCAGGGCAAGCTGGGATCCAAAGGGTGAAAAGATTGCAGCTGGTAGCGGCGATCGAAGTGTTGTGGTCTGGGACTTCAGGACTGGGAAACTTCTATATAAGCTTCCTGGACACAAAGGCACCGTCAACGACGTGCGCTTCTCGCCGAATAATGAGCCCATAAGTGAGTCACACCGAATCTGTTTCATGCCTTCTCCAGTGGCTAACCCTGTCGCGCAGTTGTATCTGGATCGTCAGACCGGACGCTCATGCTTGGTGAGCTCGGAAAATAAAAATGACCCTCTGCTAGAATCAAAAGATATCCTATATTTCTTGCATGCTGGACTACGCGCATGATTTGCTCCTTAGCGTCACGAGCCGAATGTCACCACTCCAGGTGGTGTCACGTTTCGAACGTCTTCCCCTGAAATCCTACTCACGTGGCCGCATGAAGTGCTACTCTCTTCGGCGATATGGCAAGCTCTTCTGCTTATTGGTCGCGCAATCTACAGAAAAATATTCAATTCACGTTCATCCTTTTTATACTCTCAGAGACGGGTTGAGTCAAGGCTTGGAAGGCTTGGCAAGGAGCTGTAAGACATCAAAGGGCAGGACACTTTGTAAGTCATAGCTGGCTTTTGAGAGCAAGAACTGGTATGTTTGTTCTCATGGTGTCTGTCAACGTCGAAAGCATATCAATCTAATCTGATAGTCTGGGCCATGTATACACAATTTGTGCATCTAGTTAGCATGAGCCTCACGCAAGCAACCCTGAGGATACTACACATTTGTTGATTGCAGTGTATTCTACTCTTTTGAAGCTGGATATCTTCTCCGTCCGGAGTACTCAATAGCAGAACAAGCTCCGGAGTACTTTCCGTCTGCATGATTACTGAGCTTATTTATAATTAATGGTAATAAGTGGCTCGATGACCATTGGCCAGTAGTTCTGGAGATTATTGAGGCTTTGAGAGCTGTTCTGAAACATTTGGTGCCTCGTGCCGGGGTTTTAGAGACAGGTGAAGCTACACCCCCTATCTATCTATATCTAGCACGTTTCTCGATCTTTTCGGTCTCAGTATGCTCAGAATTATAGAGAGTGGGCTGAGAAAATATCAGAGAACAGACGCCATTTAGACCATCGGAGGACAACTGCTATCATCATCATCCCAGAATAGATCCATGAGAATCATTGATCAAGGTCATGGTCCGGTCATACGTAGACAGGTGGGTCTATCAGGGGTTGTCTATATTCTAGTCGCACTAGTCTGGGCCCCTCCGCTATTAATGGCTGCAACTTTACCTGCTCTAACGATCATCTAGGGCCAGGCTGGATGTGCTGTTCCAAGATTCTTGGCCCTTGGGCTTCTGTGCTTCTGTCTTTTCTTTCCTGAGTCTCATCCTGTTGACGCTTCTGTTTCTTTCATCTCCTCTCTCAATTCACCTTGACATCTTTGTTTATAGTCCATACGTTATTATAATCCACCAGCTTCCAGACACCGCTGAGCGGCCAGGTGCTCCTCTTTCTCCTCAAATCTTTTCGCAATTCGAGATATACCAATTCAGTTAACCCTTACAACTCAATAAATTGTCTCTCTAAGTACTCCGACTTTCGAAATCTTGGCTTGGAGCGAAAGATCCGGATCCATACTTTATGTTGCCCCTCCAGGTGCTCCCAATCGCTACGTCTTTCCTTTTGTCTATAGTTGTAGAACATTGGTAATACGCTCATTATACTCACCCACAAACCTCGTCGATATCGGATTGCAGGTTTTGCATACAAAGCGTGATCAGCTCAGCGGTTTTCGTCGCAGTCCAAGCCCGCTTCGCTTCTGCTCACGGGGTGTGCGCAACGGATGCGGAAGTCGGTTAGGGGATGCATACCATCAAAAGCCGAGTCGACTTTTTGTTCAAGAAGCTTGGTATACATAAACAAGGGCCTTGAGATTTAAGATCAATCAGTTATTCTTTCGTTCTTGACCTTTCAATCGCCCCCGATGCTTCATCCGCCTGATTGGTTTTAACGAAATGGAACCGCCTCGAGTATCAACAACACAGCAGACTAAGCCTTCACATTCATCGCTCAATTCAACGTCCCGCCGAAACGGCAGCAACCGAACAATTTCACATCTTCAAATCGAGGGTCAAGGTCCTGAATATGGCGCTGGACGCCAGGAACCTCATACCCCGGGCGAATCTACAGCGCCGGGTGATTCTGGCTTAAATGTTACTGTCTCTCCAGATACACCACCTATGCCGCATATTCCAGTCAACCTGCCACGTCCTGCTGACAGTTCGGATTCGAACGGCGAATGGCCGTCCGACGCTCGCTCAACAAGACAAACCCAATTTGAGGGGTCACGCAGAGAAGCTGCTCGCTCTAGTCAGCAGAAAAGATCGTGCATGCCAACCCTCAGAGACAGGAGTATAAGGAGGCGGCTATACACATTGATCCCAGCCACAGTCTTCCTGCTCGCTATTATCGCTTTCTGTAAGATTGTTCCCGGTTCGCTCTTGCTCTTTCAGCTCAATTGGTGCTAACACAATGCCTAGACCTTGCAATACACTCTGCGACACACCTCGGTCAAGAAATTCATATTCTGTTGATCTTCATGATCTTGATTCTCTCCATCATCTTCTGTCATGCTTTGATTCGCTTCGCTATGGAGATCTTGCAGGACCCAAGGTCTACTGTTGCGAGGAATCGGATACCCAGTAGAGTAGGCCCAATGGGATATGCTCAGCCAGATCGCCCCATTCAGGTCACGCTTGCGGGAGATGAGGAGGCTTTGGTCGACGGCGCCGTACGAGAAAAGGTCACGACTCCCCCTCCAGCATATGGTCTATGGAGAAGTAGTGTGGTGAGTGTCTAACCCATCTCCTTGGCATTGTCCTGGCCATTAACACGTTCTCAGAGAATTAACCCTGATCTCCTCTATTGGCGGCGTGTAGAGGACGATGAACTTCCACCCGCAGCCGTCAACGGCCCGCAAAGGAGGTCGAACAGGAACCCTTCAGTTCCTAGACCTCCTAGTTACACATCCGATGATGGTGTCGATTACGTGATTCAAGCTCAACCACGGCCTTTGGCTGCCCGACGTGATACGGAAGATCCAGTGCGTCAGTAAGGCATCGCGTCCGACTTAACTCGCCCATGGCGTGCTGTTTACTTCTCTGCTTTGAAGATGTTTTGGCATAGCGCATTTTGTTACTCGAGATATCCCATGTTGAGACTTTTTTCATTGCATCAGTATATTTAGTTTAGAGCGAACATTCCATGCAGCTGCTCAGTCACTGTCGGCATCAAAAAAAATAAAAATTATAAAGACCAGTTCTCGGATCCTTTGCGAGTGTTTTCCAGCTTGTGCTACAGATCAGATAAATTATAGATAGTGCTTGCGCTGCTGTCGTATATGGAAACGGCATATCTGGCCTTCAGTAATCTGTCTTAGCCAAGCGCCAGCTTTAAAGTTGGTGCGGGATGGACTTGAATCTCACGTGCGACATTATTCTTGCCACGAAACAACATTTCTTCAAGTCTCGAGGGGCCCTCGATAAATCCGGTAGTACCTCCGAGACCTCTGACTTATCTGACGAGAAGAGAAATTCAGGTTCCCATGTCATCTGCGGCTGGTTCGCTTCTGCGGTAATGCGCTCGGGATGTTGGAGCTTACAGATGTTCGGCCTTCGGTCAGCATGCATGATATGGGTCTCACTCCTGTCGCTATGGCTCGCCATGGCTCAGGGTATGAGGACTTATCAGATAAATGAACTCAGGTATTTCTGTCTGGTAGACTTGTTTCCGTTTCGCCTTGCAATGAGCGCCACGCTGATCAAATCAATGAGCTCAATTCAGGAAAGAGACCGAGCACATGTTCTACCATGGATTCGAGAATTATATGAAATACGCGTTTCCGGAAGACGAACTGCGTCCGTTATCCTGTCGTCCGCTTGTTCGCGATCGTGATAACCCCTCGAATGCTGAGCTCAACGACGTCCTGGGAAATTACTCCCTTACCCTGATTGACAGCCTGTCCTCGTTGGCGATATTGTCGTCTAGTCCGGATGAAGGCGAGAGAGCTTGGAACCACTTCCAAGACGGGGTGAGGGATTTTGTTAAGCTATACGGGGACGGCTCGGATGGCCCTGCTGGTCAGGGTGAACGGGCAAGGGGATTCGATCTTGACAGCAAAGTACAAGTCTTTGAAACTGTCATTCGAGGGCTAGGTACGGAGCTTCTGTTCTGTCAATGGTGATGAAACGGCTATTGTGTCTGACATGAGTTTCTGGTATAGGTGGATTGCTCAGTGCTCATCTTTTCGCCGTTGGTGACCTTCCAATCACCAGATATACTCCTCCAGAACCGGAAGCCACCTTCGCCAAGGCATGGAATAAATCAGCGTTTCCAGGACATGACCATGGGATCAAGTGGACAAACGGATTTGTATACGATGGTCAGCTTCTCCGGCTCGCTGCTGATCTGGCAAAACGCCTTCTACCTGCCTTTTATACGGACACTGGTCTTCCATACCCTCGAGTGAATCTGCGGTACGGCGTTCAACGGCGCCCGTTCTATGCGAATTCGCCGTTGAATGCAGACAAACAATGCCATGGGCCTGATCGTGAGGTCTGTCGAGAAGACCGTCAGCGCGCTCCTTCAGAAACCACGGAAACTTGCAGTGCGGGTGCAGGCAGCCTAGTTCTCGAGTTTACGGTTCTGAGCAGGCTCACCGGAGATGGTCGATACGAAGAACTTGCTAAGAGAGCATTTTGGGCTGTTTGGACGCGAAGAAGTGACATTGGATTGATCGGTTCCGGAATAGATGCGGAATCAGGTCGTTGGGTTCATTCTTATACCGGGGTATGATTTTCTCTGAGACCTGTTTAACTGAGTACCCACTGATCACCGATGACTGTAGATTGGCGCTGGCATCGACAGCTTTTTTGAGTACGCTTTCAAATCGTATGTCCTGCTCTCGTCGGGACAACGCTCCTCGCATGATCCCAGGAGTCCCTGGCAGGTCCTGGATGGTTACTTCCCACCGTTGACTGAATATGAGCACTCAGCGGAAGCGTTCCTGCGCGTGTGGGAAGAGGCTCATGCGGCTATCAAACGGCATCTATATCGAGGGGAGGGTTATCAACATCCGCATGTGATCCAAGGCGATATTTTTACCGGCGCAACACGGGCATTCTGGATCGATAGCCTGAGTGCTTTCTATCCAGGTCTTCTTTCGATAGCAGGGGAGCTGGACGAGGCCATAGCTATACACCTTTTGACGACAGCAGTCTG